CGACTAGTCTGGTTTTATCAAATGCTCAGTGTCTTACCATGATGTGGGCAGGCGGGTGAAAGTATTTGCACTTTTCGCTTGTGGGACTGTTGTTGTTGTTTGCGTGTGGCTGCTGTTCCCTGGAGCACATCTGTCCGGCTGACTTGAGCCAGTCTATGCAGATAGTGACTCTGTTGTCTGTGGGGTCCACTGCCACCTGTGGTTCTGGGTGAGCATAGCGACACTCCTCGTCCGACCGACTGCAGGCGCCTCGGCTGAACTCACGACATACCTACATTCAAATTATATAAATAAATCAACAAATAATACTCATAATAATCATAATCATAATAAAAATAGCTAATTCGCTTTCAAGAAGGGAACAATTTGCCTATAATTTACCCAAAAATTATATCCAAGAAAATTTCTTCTTGTAAGAACATCAAAAATGCGAGTTAATTGCCTATCGAGTCAACTGGCCTTTTTCGAGTCATTCCAGGAAGGTATGTTTTCAAAACCCCATGTTAGGTTTTGAAAATCAGATTATAATTCGAGAGAAAAATCAGTTGCTGCAAATGATCTTTTAAGCAAAATTTCGCTCATCATGTTCTTTTCTATCTTAAAACAGGCATCTCATGCTTCAACTGAAAAACAATTCACTGAAATCACCGATATTTTTTTCCAAAATTTTACAGCGGCGAAGCTGTGCTTCGCAAACACTAATGAGAACACGACAAAAAAAGCAGCTTTTCGATTTTTATAAGAATTGGCATATGGACTAATTAGGCTATGGCAAACATAATTGGTCCTTGATAAATAACCTAGTGAAACCATAAACTTGATGCTCGTGTGAGGTAGGGGGGAGCCAAAAATTAGGCTACGTCTCGGATTCGATCAGCATCCTCACACACTAGCCACGGACGCGTAATAAACCACAAATACTAGCCACAAATAAAGCAAAGAACAGATGATATTGATATGAAATTTTCAACGCTACAGGTCGTGATTATAGTTGAAGTGCCACCAAATAAGTGTCTTTTATTTGTGAGTTAGGTTCGAAAAAAAGGTTCGCATTAAAACGCTAACGCTCACAAGCGCGCAAGTGTAATCTTCCAATTAGGGATTCAGCGTTTGAACTAAAGAACGAATATCGGCACCTAAATTTAAAAGTAGTAGTCTAGATTAAGAAGCTTTTTTCCTTGAAGCACCTAAAATTTCTACCAAAATTTAGGTGCCTCAAGCAAAGCTTGGATGAGTAAAGTGTGGTATCATATCAAAACTTTGTTGATCGTGATTCGCATTGCCAAAAAAGTCTGTCGAGTAAAACTTTCAAGTTTATTGCCCCTTTTTTGCCTTTTTCCACCTTATTTGGTCACGCTCTATCATTTATGTCCAGTTGATTGAAGAAAAATAAATAAAAAAACTTAATCTGAATACAAAAATTTAAATGAAACATAAATCAAATTGTGCAGCTACGGCTCACATTCATATCTATTTTTCATGCTAACACTCAAATTTGTTTTTTTTTTAAACTGAAAAATGTCTATTGAAAAATGAGCTCAAAATTCTTTTAAAACGATGAAATTTAGTTGCTAGTGGACAACTTAATTTAGCAATTTTTTTTCCAATATATATCAATTTAATTTCAATATATTCATTTTTATGGGCATTCAGGAAATTTAGACAAAACGAATGAAAAAACCAGAGAGTTTTAATATATTTTTTTACAAAGTTCTTTATTCTTCGATTTCTTTTGAAGATTGGATCTAGTACGCTGAATACGCATCCGAATTATTTATGCGTGGTAAAATCTCCCGCACTAAAAATCTTTACTAATTGAAATAAGACAAAAAATAATAGGTCTTATTATACTTAACAAGAATGCTCATATATCTAGGCGAAACCCTGAATGTTCCGCCTACCCCTCCGTTTTCCGAGTTGATTCCGTTTTTTCGCCCACCATATGCTTATGGTAAAAACTTTATGGTAAAAAACTGTCGCAAAAGTCTTGCTTTTATTATTGTTAAAGTCGAAACTTAGCGAGTCGTCAGAACAATAAAAAATCAAATTTTAATCAAAATTAACATTTGCTATTGACAAAACAAAGTTTATAATTTATCAAAATTTTCTTTATCAACAATTATTCGAGACCAGCTAAAGGGTATTTGGAACAATCAGGGCTTTGCTCTAACACACGAGGAGTTTTGCCCTGTTTCTTAAATTTTTTTAAAAATTTTGAATATGAAAAAGTATTCTTAAATGTTATGCTCTTTCTCACCTCGACTGTGAATGCTTTTCCATTCAGAGGCGGGGAATCGGAGGAGCACATGTGCGCGGGCGAAGACAGATTCACCCCATTGATCACACCACCGGCTGACGTCATCACCAGACCCCCCATGCTGTTCGGATCCACCAGATGAGTATTGTTGTTGTTCACATTCGAAGGAGAGGAAGACACGGCGGATACGGATGTTGCAGCGGTGCACGAAGAGGGAACTAAGGCTGTGGCGGCGGCTGATCCGGGCTGTGGGTGGGTGTGGGGGGAGGCGTATCCGTGCTGCTGGAGGAGCTGCTGGTACTGAGCCAGAGTGACGGCCGGGTTCGTCGCCTGGAGAAGTGCAGGTTGCTGAAATGAAACGCATATTAACATTACGACTAATTATCGATGAGGAAAAAGACTAACATACACGCTGCCCTCTTCTATAACCAGAGCATTTATGTTCCCTTAGAATTAGCTGGCAAAAACTTTGGGAGAAAAATTCAAAAAATAAGAGAAATACTCGCCCCTCCGACATTTCAGTAGTCCCTTTTTATAGGTTTAATATATTTTTCAATCGTTATTTCTTGTGGCATGCAGAGCTAGTAAATTTAGGGGCAATAACTCAGTTCTATTAAAAAGGCTTATTTTTTTCTTTTTAGCGCCTTCAAAATTTTTTGCTTGAGAACATTTGCAAAAATTGGTACCTTGCGCATGCTGATCCGGAAAATTTTAGGGCAGTTGGAACCTAATTGGAACTAAATCTGTTGTTACGTATATATTCAAAGCAGAAACTACGGCGGTACTTTAAACGAAACTCGTAAAATCCTAAAAATTAGGACCAAATTAGAGTAATATAAAATACTCGGTTACATTTTGACAGGTTTTTACTGCTCATTATTGGTTATTCGATTTATTAGACTGTATATTGGACATTAGTTGGTCTAGTCTCCATGTTTTCTTTTTAGGTTACAACTTAGAATGCAACTGTTATTTGGGTTGTTCTCCTCCGAGTAACCCAGAGTATATTAACTACATTTCGCTGCAGTGTTATTGATTACTTGGGTGATAAATTATTACAAACAAACAGAGGCACTGGGATAAGAAAGAGAGCGTACCAATTGTACAGACACAAGTAATTAAATAGCCCCGATATCAAGTTTACTTTCGGGCCAGGAAATTGTTCAGAGGTGTAGCATTACTGCACTATACAGGAATATACGCTGTGCCCACATCGGCCGATTTGGTACCGGGAGGTAACGTCCTGCGGCGCTCCTGTTCTTTGTAGTGATTTGTTATCTTTACATTTGGGATATTACTTATTGTAGTCTCGCCTAATTGAAAAAATGACCATAAATCACTGATTATACTCCTATATGGGCATCCAAACTTATATTTAGAAGATGCAATTTTGGCATTGGCTGTGATGGAAAAAATATGAGCAAAAACATAGAATGCATGCAAAAGGCGAAAAAAATTCAATTCTGGAAACCCGATTTTGGAAAACAAGAAAAATATGCCAGCTAAAATAAAAGTTTTGTTTTTTAATATCATGGTAATTGTTTTGCAGCTATCTTGTATTGAGTTCTTAGTGTGTTCATGGGTATTGTCTAAGGCTTTGAATTAATTCACTTGATTGAACAAGAATTGCCAGTTGCCAGCATAAACTTTCCGACCAATGTCACTGAGGCAAAAAAAATGAAAAACAAAAACAAATTGTAGGAAATTTTAAATAATTTTTTGAATGGGAGAAAACAACCCTGAGTCCGAGCTTCTTTAAAAAATTACCAGCTGCTGTGCAAGTAGCACAGAACGCTCCGTCCGACCTTTTTTTTTTGAGAAAAAATAAATTATATTTGTTTCTTTTTTCAATTTTTTTTTGGTGTGAGAGAAAAATAATGGCTCTAATTGAGTACAGTTATTTTTACAAAATGAATAACAAAAACAAAGTATAATTATATATATTTTTTTGGATCTATTTATTTTACATTTTTTGATGGCAAAGAAGCGCTAACTGAAAGTTGAAAAACTAGTTTCGAAACCAAAAAACTAGTTTTTCAGATCTTAAAAATCAGACTTTTGTTCTTGAGCTACTGAATTTTCTCGTTTCTCGCTCTCATTTGGACAACCACCAAGCAACAACGTCAAACCGGTTTTTCTCGACACAGAGAAAATGCTTTGAATGACAATGGAAAAACTTTAATATATCACCCCAACATCTGACATTTATTTGTAGTACGAGATGGTGGTCTTCCCGATGATGGTCTTCAAGACCGAAGTGGTTTGAAATCAATTTGAAGCTCTCAATATCTTTTTGTTATAAATGTTCAATAAGACAACAATTTTATTTTAGTTGCATTTCTAGTTGGAGCGTGACTCATGGACTGTCCACTTTAAACTAGGCCAAAAAGCAAAAACTTTTAAAAAACCTTTTTACTGCACAGTGGGAAAAAATGATAAATTAAAAAAAATTGATCGAAAGACGACTGAAATGGTAGGGACATGATATATCATTTGTAACCCATCTGATGGTTGCTTGCAGTGGCCCTATTTTGCTTGGAAAACACTCGAGCCCTAGTTCATTTGCAAACATTACTTCGTGGTTCGAAAACATTAGTTATCGAAAATAAAGTTACGGTCCTTCCAGTCATTTTAGACAGACACTATTAATTACAACGTTTTTATTAAAACTGGAAAGAATTTTTTTTAGAATTTGATTCGACATTGCTGATTCTCCTAAAACGAAGGTGGGGAGAACTTAGTGCGTAGGGTGATTTTTTTATTCACTTTGACTAACCTTCAAAAAAGCTAGTAGAGGGTCAAGTGTGGCATTATATCATAGCCTATTTAGCCGTGATTCGGATGAAAAACTCCAACTCTTTTTTCAACTTTGTTGAACATAGGCGTAATCAATATAATATGGGCTACTTTCTCGGCAACACTTTTTATTATAAAAGCTTTCTGAATAAACCTTACCATGTTGGTAATATCGTGCCTTATATTCTATGTCAAAACCTATCATAAACTATATTCGAAAAAACTTTTTTCAGGGATATTAATTTTTTCGCATTATGTTTATCGAATATTTTTCTACACAATTTTCACCGACTATAGTTCAGTAGATCTGACGTTTTGATGCAAAAAAAAACTTCAGAGCGATATTTTGCATTCTGTTAAAATTGGTTGGAATTATATGATGCCGAATAAAACCGTCGTTGAAATACCGAGTTCCTTAAGGCATTCTTTTACTTTGATAATTTTTGAGATACATTTTTTGCTTTTAATTGATGAATTAAAATGACCCACTTACACAGGTGCCATTTAACACATAAAACAAAAAAGGTAACAGTGGACTGAATAAACATACTTTTGACCAGAAGAATAAGGGCAAAGAATTAGGTCAACGGCTAAAACGTCGAAATTAAACATAAACTTTACGCACCATAAAATGATTAATGAAAAAAACTCAGTAAGGTTTTTTACTTAAATTTTTTGAGACTTTTGTTCACGTAGGTTTTTAAGAAACATTTTTGAGACTTCTGTTCCAATCATCAAAAGTGACAAAAAAAACTTTGGATTTGGGTGTTTTTGGTCCACACAACGAGATACCACAAAAAATTACATGGCGTCGATTGATATATCAACTGAAATCTTTTTTAGCCGTGATTTGATCTGCAATGAGATATTCTAAAAAATCAAAGAAACTGTTCAGTGTTTCAATTCTTTCCGTATTTTAGTGTTTTTAAAGACCGCATTGGAGCATTTTGTGCTTCTTGCAGAGTAACTTTCTTGATGTGTTACAAATCATCGTACTTCCATGACTCTGTTTTTAATTTTAATCAGTAATATGTTTGTTCTGACTTTCGTAACGGAATATTTGTACTGGGCGTGGTTTTTTTCTTCAGACAAATTTCGACTTTTTTAACTAGCCATTTTTGACGGAATTTTTTTATGTAATTCAAAAAACATTGTTGTCCTGAGCTTAAGTTTTTAAAAAAAAATTCCACTGTAACCATTTTTTGTGAAGTTATAGGGGTTTAAGATTGCCATTTTGACCAATTTGTAACAAGTGCAGGGCGACACATTTCGCGCTATTAAAGCGTAAGCGAAGATTTAATCTGACTCAGAAATCGTTCCAAAATGGTTATTTTCCAGAATTGAAGGAAGCTTATTTTCCAGAATTGATTTGTCAATAGGAGCAAAATCTATCACTTTGTAAATCATAGGTCGTGTGGGGGAATCATTTTCACAAAAAGTCTTCAATTTAAAAAACAAATGTTTTGTTTTATCTTTTTACATTTATTTTTTTGTTATTACTGCTTCATAGACCTTAAAAAGCAGTCGGAACATTCAAGGCTTTTTTGGTTGTTTTGACCGAAAAACAGGCGCGCGTATCTCCCTCAATACAATGATAATACTTTTATGTTATGCATATCATTTTATCACTCGAACTTTTGGTGTTCTAGCCTCTTTAAGCGACTAGAAAACCATACTTGGATTTGTTCTTTAGTTACTGCCGCAGGGGTCAATTAGGCGTCTAATGACCACTAAACCCACCACCCCCCCCCCCCAAAAATCGATTCTATTGGTTTTAGATGGGACACAGTTGGAAGAAGCAGTAACCAATAAGTGAACAAGTTCAAGTTTTGTAATTGAACCGGCTATTAGGTGCTAAGACTAGCGAGTCTGTAGCAATAAATCTGTCTTTGCTCGAATTAGACTATACCAATTGGTAAAGAAATAACTCTTCTTAGTTAATAGACTGTGTAAGGCTCTAGCTGCAGTGTTAGAAGAACACTTTCTATGAATAATTTGAACAAGAAATGAAGGTTTTTTCTTTTTTTCATAGTTATAACTTTTCCTTATGTTACTATTTCATGCGCCCCATAATAAGGCAGCAACCAGTATCCCCAATGGGTTCGTCAGCTGTTCTCTCTGAGTTTCAATTTTATTGTAAATAAGTTGCTTGTAATTTTTTGAAGTATGTATTGTAATTTGTTACGATGAGAAATAAATTCTTCTTCTTCTCTCAATGTTAGTGTATATTGATTGTCTCCTTTAGAAAATTTTAAGTGTTGATTGAACAAAAATTGATGACCTAAAATAGACACTAAGCGGGTATTTTGGGTGATCAGAGCGTCAAATACCCGATGAGGGGTCCAAATACCTTATGAAGGTTCCCCTTAAATCCAGCCCAGTTGAGTGACTTGACATGCCCCCATTGTAAACAAAAACTTCGAGCTAGTTAACTCGGAATTGCGAAAATTGAATTGGAAATCGTTTACGCTGTCTAAGATCCACCAGACCCAACATAATTCGTGCAAACCTAAGTAATTTAAAACAACAGCAAAAATCTTCAGACTAAATGGCCCTAAAGATACGATTGCTTCAAGTCTTTATCTTCCGAATACTCATTCCTTCCCTTAAAATTTGGATTTACATATAGCTGAAAATTCGTATTATACTAAATACGCAGCGGGAGGTGTTTTCAAATATATCCCCGAGGATCTTATCATTAACTTTTCATTTTGGCATATTAGAGTAACGAACTTCCGATTGGTATCAATTAAGATTTATCGGCCATAAAAATATTTGATATGTTCAAAAGCCTCGGTACCTATTTCTGGGGTTCTTCATATTTCAGCCCAGCATGACACAGATTTACCGACAGTTAAGACCTGATATCCAAATATTGGGCTAAATTAATTGTAAAACCGAAAGTCCATATGGCTGCAAATTTAGTGGCCAAGCGTTGGTTAAGGGCTCAGTTAATATATATGAGCCTTGAAGTCTAAATTCTGTTTCTAAGGTAAGTCTATGACCAGTCGTTATTATGAGATCAAAGAAAAATAAGTGATTGCTCTTTTGAAATTAAACACCTGATTCCCCGCCGTTTTTTGAACTACGTGAAAAAAAAACATGCTGCAACTGGATGCACCGCAGAAAAGTCGTAAATCAACTTTCTTCCGCAAAATTAAGTAATTTTGTCTCAAATTTGCCTTCTAAGGATTATACTTGAGACACGCAAGCAAATAAAAATTAAAGAAGTTTATATGGACCAGGGCAGGGCCTAGGATTTTCATGAGGGGAAAAGCGGTTTTTCAAAACATTTGTAACTTTTTGGCCGACTAAATTGAGGTTCCGAGCTCTCCAAAATCACTGCAAAGACCCTATTTAATGGCAAATTTTGAGAAATGAGACAAAAATGTTTAAAAAATCCAAATCCAAAAGGAGTCGAGATTGAGAAATGGCATATTTTGAGGACAGTAACTCAATACAACGGCTGCAAACATTTGAATCGATTCATGCAATCTTTCATGGATAATTAACCTCGCCGCATAGTTGCTAGAAACAAAGAAAATAACCGATTAATAAAACACTTCGCTTGATTAATCAAAAAATTAATGAGGTATACTATTATGCATGAAGTATGATGGTGAATTTTATGGCTTTATAACACCAACTCATGCCCATGTACACTCAGGGGGCGGATCTAGAATTTTCGAAGGGGGGGGGGGGGTTTAGAGAATTTTTGTTAACAGATTTTAGGTCGCGCGAATTGAGATTTTAGGTCGCGCGAACTCTCTTAAACCAGAATAAGGACACCATTTTGCCACATGCATATTCTTGAAAAAAAAATTGCAAGTTGAAGTCTAAAAAATCGAAGGTTTTGACTAAAATCACGGTTTTTGGCGCATTATATCCTCAATTTTAGAGAAAATTGGCGTTAAAAGCTGGCTTCTCTTGAAAAAATTAAGGTTAAAATGAATGCTATAAAATATTTTTAAAAAGAGGGTGATCATGGCTTCAAATCCTGGAAAGAAAGAGCGTCCGCAAAAGTTTCGTTTTGATTTTCCGGTAATAACTCGTTTCTCATTGGCCGAAAAACTTGTCCCAGAAACCAAGTGAATTTATCCTTCTAAACCGGATAGGCAGGGAGATCGTTCACTTGGCCCTAAAAACTTTTAACACAGAGTCGAAGATACACTTCGCAAGTGGAAAAAGGCAAAAGTTTGCTCTTAAAGGTCAAAAAATGAAACAAGGATAGCCAGTTGCAGTGTAAGTAATACCGAATGTTCCGACCATACTCGTAAAAGACTACAAGAAAAATCTTTTTTCATCTTCAAATTAGCGTGTTTTTTTTTCTGTATAGTGAGATTATAGAACTATACAAACGCGCATAAATTTAGTGAATTACGCATAAAATACTACAATTGACTGCAAAAAATAAATAAAACGAAAAGAAAAATCAAGAAAACTTCAAATTCAAATTTTTTTCTTAACTTTTTAGTTGATATGAAAATTTTTATGGCCAAGAAAGCACCTTCAATGTGAGTTGAGTTAGAACAAAAATTGATCCGTAATCTTAAACTACGCTCGGCAGCTGGCTTGTGTAAAACTCGAAATTTTTTGCTTATACCATTTGATACAATTTTCAGCGCAATAATGTAAATTGAATGATAGTGCTAATGCGTCATAATTGGCTTGCGTCACTTAGCAAATATGTAGACTCATAATTGGCGCTCGTCGCTTAAGAAATTTTGACGACTCAAAGTTTTACTCATTCAGTTTTTCCCAGTAGCGTTATCGGTCATATTTTGCTTGTGTATGCGAAGTACAACTTCGCCTCTGTGTTGATATCTGAATATCTATGGACAGACTCAAACCAACAGTTAAATACCCTTATGAATGAAAAAAAAAGAATTACATGCAGCAAAGGAAAGTTCTCAAAACTAAAATGCCCAAAAAAAATTAAAAGCAGTCGATTAGTAGCGCACATATCATGTAATCTTTTTGTCTTCTTGAATGTTGTAGTTCTGCTGCTATCACAATTCAATCATTAATTTTCTGTAAGCAAATATAAAAGATCATCAAGGATAGCCTGTTACTGCGCAAGTAGCACAGAATGTTCCGACCAGTCTTAAAAACTACAAAATTATTTTTCAATTCAGTTTCTTTTTTTCGTCATAGTGTAATAAAGTAATCTGAGCGAAAAAGTAGAGCTTAGGAATTTCCGTCAGTAATTATAAAATATGCATATTGGAAAACAATTTTTGAAGATAAATAGCAAGAAAATTTAAAAAATAATTTTTTTTTTATTTGTCAAATTTTTCCCAAACTTTGAAGTTTTTGATTCCTAAGATGAAACTAAATACTCCAAAAATTAACTTTATTTCAGTAAAACTAAATTTTCAAGGCTTAAATTAAGCATACATAAGCTAATGTAATCCTGCGCACTTTCACGAAATTAGACGAAAAATCAAAAATTTCAAACCGGTTTTTCTCAACACTGGAAAAAAAATTTCGTAATTTTTTAATGTTGTTCGAATCACGACTTAAAGTGCTTTAATTTGATATATCACTGATCCCAGTCCGATGATTATTTGTGGTAGCTGATTTTGCGTGGAGAACAAAAAGAAAAAAACTACAACACACCCGAATAGAAAGTTCTTCCCCATTTTCAATGGCCGGAACAAAAGCAAAAAAATACACGAAAGTTGACAAGACCAACAAAACACGTTTTCAAGTCGTTTGCTCAACTCGCTATTACTTTTTTAAGATTTTACCCTAAACGATTGATATACAAAGCGATACTACCCTAATGTATATTTACTATGAAAATCCGAGGTACATGATATTAAATACATGTTGTTCATAAAAAATGTGTAAATGAGTTATGATTTATTAGATCTCTCAATATGAGAATTAAGCTCAGACTAAAGCTCTCTCAGAAAGTACTTGAAGTTTTTACAACCAAAGACGCAGACAAAGTAATTATATTAATAATGACACCGATTTAATCGAGTGTGCGAACACTTCTTTACGCCACGTTCTCTGGCTCCGCTTTTAGTCAATGGTCCGTTTTTATTACATGAAAAAGCAACATCGAGTCATCCAACTTTATACCAACATGAAAAAGCGCATAATCAAAAAAGACATAGTTTTTCTGCAATGCTCAACTTTCAGGTGCTCAATTCGTGAGAGTTTTTGTCATGTGTTATCAAGAAAATATATGAAACAAAATTTTTTTTGTTTGTTTTTTTGTAGAGCCTGAAAAAACCATCATCCTCGACCAATTTTACGCTGTAATTAAAACTAATTACTTCACGTCTAATAACCGGCAGTTCTTTGTACAATGCCTTAGAAAGTATTCACTTTTCTATCAGCGGTTAAGTTCTTTTCAAGGCCTCTTTTTCTAGGATTGTTTGACCACGAGGGTAAGAAACAACTACCTGTCTGTAAGATAGAGTCCAGTGAAATATCATTTAAAAGATTTTTCAGTAGTGCTTCGATCATTTTTTGAACAAATATTCCAAAAAATAAATTGTTTCGAGAAAAATTGGTTTGAAGTTTTGGCTTTTTAGACAAATTTAGAAGAACCATTCGCTCTTCATATTGACTCATTCGAAGCATAAGGTTCAAAATTTCAATTCTAATACACAGACAAAGTTATTGACGGTATTCTGTATTTAATCTTTAGTGCCTTCCCTCACTCGCAAAAAAACATTCTGCGCCATTTCGGAACATTCCGTGATCGGAACATTCTGCGCCATTTGCACAGCAATCAGCTGTTGTTTTTATATTCAGTACTTACATTGTGCAAGAAAGGATTGAGTAGGGACTGGTTGTGTTGTTGTTGGTGAAGCTGCAGAAGAGCCAGTTGAGCAGCAGCTGCTGCTGAGTTGTGGTTCTGCAGTGCCATCTGTTCACTCTTCTGTCGCATCAGACTCATCTTCCCCCTCATCTCCAAGTCAGCCTTCATCTGAGCAGGCGCGTGGAAGTACTTGCAACTGGTACGCGTGCATCTGTCCTGAAACACCCAATTAGAATATACGACTATAAAAAATAGCAAAAATAACAAAAAAAATCATTAAAAAGAGCAATTTTCCAATTTTGAGCAATTTTTGCATGCCCATTTTCAAATATTGAATTTTTAGGTGACCGTAAAAAGCCGAAACGCTCGAATTTTACTATTTTCCCTCGTGAATAAATGGCTTTATAAGTTCATTAAAACCCAAGATACAGGACATTTCGATGACGTTAAAATCTTTCGATTAAACTACTGAAATAAGAAAACAAGCTAATTGCAAATAGAATTTTTTTTCATTGAAATCACCATGTTTTGCTCAGCTAATTGCAAAATTAAAAAATCTTCAATTAAAGTTAAATCATCAAACGTCTTTAAAACTGGTTCAAATTATATTTTGTCTTTCGTTCAAATTATCATTGTCTATCGATTTAGGTTCTAAATATATTTGTCCACTCTTCTTAGTACCATATTTGTGTTAGCGAGAATACAGCAAAAGGGACCCAGATTAAACTGCGGCAACAATCAAAACCATTTGTTTTGTCTTAAACCAGTCAGTTAATGGATGTTGGCGTCCGAAACATGCGGCTGAAAAATCCAAAAATATGGCAAACTAATTAAATTTGGCTTTATAGACTCCCAAAACATGGCATTAAAATCCACCATACAATTAAAATATGAATAACTTATGCCACTAAACCAGAACAGTTTAATCTGTATCCCTATCAAGAACATTTTCAAGGAAATAATCTTGACTTGATCAATGGACTTGGGACGATATAAAAATTCGTGTCTATAGAAAACAAAATTTGTTCCTATACTTTAAGATTAAGAGGCTTTGTTCATGTACTTTCCACGAATACGTAATCCTTGACTAGTTAAAGGTGAATGCTATTTATCTGGCTACGCAATCTTTGACTAGCTGAAGGTGAATTTTTATTCGGCTTCACTCGGCTTTTTGAGCTATTCCACCACTTGTGCTGAACTTGGGCTAATTTAGCCCGTTGTTATTAACCAAAGCCAAGTTGGCATTGCAAAAGTCTCGCACTGGTTAATAACTCTTAACTAATACTTCTAACAGTAGCCAGTGTGCGTACACTTGCAAATGATTTGCACCCAGCTGGAAGAGGGTCCGGTAGACTAACTATCCTTTGAAAATTCCACCGGATTAGTTTTCAACTTCAAAATAGGACTGGATTCAAAACAGGGCCATTCACAAAAATTAAAAATCAAACCATTAGACCTAATCTTTAAAGGAAAGACGAATTTTGAATAATGTCAAATTTGAAATTTTGAGAAACAGAACTAGAGCTTGGTAATTTTAATTGAAAAAATACTAAGCTAGTGAAGGATTGCAGACGGAGTCGAACCTATTACAACCGAAATAAAAAAGCAAAGATGCTAAAAATAAACAAAATCAACTTTTCGCAATTTAAGGGTTCTATGAGTGCGTGGAAACTTTGAGGACACTTGGCGACTAGGACAAAAGAAAGATGCCAAAACTGCACTTTAAAATTTGAGAAAAAGTTGAATATCATAACTATTAGATCGCAGTTAAATAAAGTTAAATCGCATAAAATGTTTAATAGCATAACTGAACATAGAAGTTATGCTATTAAACAGATAAAGTTATGCTATTATAGTGGTCGCCTAACTGAATGATCTCTATGGAGTAATTGATGGCAGACAGATAAATGATAGGACAGGGAGATTAATGAGTGGATGAAAATGGCTTTACTTTTATTGCCCAACTGAGCAGTTGATGTTAAAAGAGGGTTAATAGATCTATAAAAATGTGTTTGAACCAATTTTATCCACAGGTGAAAGCCGGAGCACTGCAGCAAATAGTTTAAAAGTGGCAAATTTACGACAGAGGAGGGACTTCCAATGAGTCCACAAATGAGATTTCGACTGAAATTTAAAAATCGCCATGCAAAAGTAACATTTCTTACGAAAAAATTGGAAATCGACTCCGAAATTGAGAAAAAAGTATTATCTGAAAGTAAAATCTGGTTCTTCTGTTGTCATGAGATTTGCTTGGATTTTCAATCATGGCGACTAAACTACTGCACAAAACCATATTTTTGTCAAAAAAAAAAGACTTTTGCTCTGCCCACATTAACTTTTTTCCAATTTTTATGAAACTTTGGAGAAGCAACAAAAACAAAAGACACAAAATGCTTGCTAATCGCAAGCGAAAACAAGGATAGCCAATTACTGTGCAAGTAGCGCAGAATGTTCAGACGATAGTCTTAAAAAATACAACAAAAATTGTTTTTCAATTTAGTGTCGTTTTTTTCCGGCGTGGTGTGATAAAAGAAGCTGAGCGAAAAACTAAAGATTAGGCATATTTGTCAGTCATAGCAAAAAAAACAAAGTAAAAAACAATTTTTTTCGAAAAACGAATCGAAAAACGAAAAAAAATCAAAAAATTTCTTAAAATTTTTTGATTACAAAAAGGCGTTGAAATACTTTAAAAATCAACACTACTCGAGTAAAACAAATTTTTACGTCTTAACTAAGCTAATATAAGCTCTTAACTCATTAAAATAAGCTACTGTATACCTGCTAGCTCGCTTTAATCGATCTAATTAAGACAAAAAACCAAAAATTTCCAACCGGTTTTTTCAACACTGGGAAAAAAATTTTTTCACTTTTTAAATGTCGTTGGAATCACGACTGCAAGGACTTTATTATGATATATCACTCAACTCTCTCCGATGATTATTTGCTGTAGCTGATTTTGCGTGGAAAACAAAAAAAAAGAAAAAAACTAAAACACACCCGAAAACAACGTTCCTCAAAATTTTTCGAATGACCCAAACAAAACTAGTGTGGGATATGGTGAGCAAATACGTTCCATGTAAATTAGTCGTACAGCTTCATTTCGTTCACAAGATTAATGAAGGACTGCAGATGGAGCCGAACATATTACAACTGAAACAAAAAACCAACTTTCAATAACACCCAAAGCCAAGCACAATGCAAACGAGGATAGCCGATTACTGTGCAAGTAGCACAGAATGTTAACACCATAGTTTTTAAAACATTACATTCATTTTTTTTCAAATTAGTAATTTGCTGCGTGATGTGATAAAAGAAACTGACGTAAAACTATAATTTAGGCATATTTGGCAATCAAAGAAATATAGGCAAATTGGACAATAATTTTGTATAGGAGTGACTAGATAAACAAGCATAAAAATGTTTTTTAAAAGTCAAATTTTTAAAAAATTTTTGCAAAAAAAATAATGATTTTTTTTGAAGATTTTGGTTCCCAAAATGGCGCCAAAAAACTCCAAAAACTAATTTTACTTGCTTAAAACTATATTTTCAGTGCTAAATTAAGGCTGTTTGTTGTAAGCCTTATCGCTCGGTTTATTCGCTTAATTGAAATAAAAACCATAAGGTTTAAATCAATTTTTCTCAATGCTGAGAAAATGCTGGAAAACTACTAAAAGACACCCGAATACAAAGTTCTTCCACATTTTTCAAATAGTCGGAACAACAAATTAGCGGTGTGGAACTTCGGATGTGTCGGTTATCTGCATGCATAATTAGGTACAAAAAACAGAAGTCAGATGGGTGATTTAATTCCCCATACAAATTTCCACTTTCTAACAAACCATTTTTGACGGGAGTTTTTTCATATCATCTGAAATCTTTCAAAAATTTGAGCTCAAATTAAAAAATGTATATATATATATATTATCTGCGACCATTTTTGAAAACTATCAGTCTGGCCAATTTTGGACAACTAACGCTCGAGATTTTTCATAACACTAATGCGTAAGTTGGCGATTTAATCCAACTCAGAAATCGTTCCAAATTGAAATGAAACATGCTAGCTGCTGTACTCCATTTATTACCATGCTCAACATATTGTTTCGTACTTTAAATATTGCGTGAGGGGATGATTTTCAAAAAGCTCATTTTCTAATTTGGAAGTTTTATCATTCTTCTTAATCAAACATTACTCCAGAGACGTTAAAAGTTAGTCGAATCTTTCAAATCGTCGCCCTAATACGAGCAACATTATTCATTTAATTGACTTTGTTTAAGATAAAACTAAATCAGTGATATACAAAAATTAGAAAAATTTTCTGAACCATCTTGCATTAAAACCTGCATAGCTTTTGTGCACGAACAGATTATCAAATCATTCAAAATTTCGTTTTATATCAAAACAATTAAAAATTTCGTTGCATCAATGACAGTAGTTAGTTCACTCAGTAACCTCTTAGTTAATTTAGCATGTTCAGAACAAAGTAAATTGGAATCAATCAACGTGGATTTAGAAAACATCATTGGACTGTGACAAACCTTATATTGTAATGTGATACAAGAAAATAGAACCAGAGGAATTACCTCTCACGCCATTTTCAGATATTGCAAAAGCTTTCGACTCTATTAGCCATACCATCATTTTGTACAAGCTTGCCAAATTAGGCTTCGACCATGAGTTTCTTCAATTTTTTGCATCTTATCTGACAAACAGAAAACAAATTACTTTTCTTCATAATACCTTGTCTCGTTCGCGCAATATAACGAATGGTGGTCCACAGGAATCAATTTTTGCAGTGTTCTTATTTTCTTCATATATGAAAGATATGCCAGAAATTATTGACAACACTTCCTTTTTATAAGCTAACGATAAAAAAATTATTGGAAACTGGTTTGACCTTTCTTCGATTCGAACAGATTAAAACAATGTAATCACCTGGGCAGCAGAAAACAGAATTGATATCAATTTTGACAAATTTGAACAAATTAATTTTCAAAAATTAAACAAGCGATACCCTTTAAACGATCTTTTATCTATTGATGGAGAACAAATAGTTTTAAAAGACACGTGAAAGACATTGGTGTTTGGTGCACTTTTAAAATGTCATGGATATACCACATCACCGAAAGGCTTAAAAAAGCAAACATGCAACTTAATTACATCAGAAGATCTTCACCAAACTCACTGAGTAGCATTGTTTGGGTTTCGCATTTTGAAA